GTAATCCTTTAACTTTATAAATGAAAAACTAAAGGAAAATTAGAGGACTTGAATAAAATAGTGATATTTTTAGTGGAAAGAGTGAAGGAAATTATTGCTCCCCGGAAAAAAATTATGCGAAAATTACTATTATCAGTGTYATCAAGGTTGCATCWGGGTTGCGTCAGGTTCTAGTTCACACGGGTGAATCTTTTACAAATTATCATACTCTTAAAAAATACAAGACTTGTTAATAAATAACTTTGTATATTATTATAATAAGAAATGTGATTATTGTGGRGTGACAMATTTCRCACCTAACGGACAACCATCTGCYATAGTTTCCTTATCTWTTCCGCATTTTTCTTTWCAGTTCGAATTGTAGATTCATTCAAATTTATCGATTTCGCAACAGACAATAATTTYCTCGACCATTAAAACAATTTAAAATTTKGATTTTGTCCCCAAGAAATATAAACTTTCTGTTAAACTGTTTCCTTATTTCTTTTATGTCAGACATTATGCAATTCAGGGATTTGCAATTATTTTATTATTATTATATTACAGCAAATAAAATATATGATCTACAGTATTGCGAAATATTAGCTAATTACGATAATACAGATTAAACGAGTGAAAAACACTTTATTGAACACTAATCGTGATTTGTACGTCTGTACGGATTTACATACAGCTTCCTTCTAAGTAGAAATTAAAATTAATGACAAAGTAGGTGATTGCAATAACGAAAGTTCGGCAGCGCTATTGGATAAAAAAGTTCGGGCAAATACGCTACAGCTAAATATTCGGTCTATTTTAAGCATTAGAATAGAGCACTGTGAACAATCTCGCATCGTTTCTTCACTTATAGGGGAATTCCCTGATAACTGAAATTGGAAAATAAAGATGTACCTTCACTAAAAAGAAGAAAATTCCCTGTTACTTAAAACAATAAAAATTTAACATATAGATAAATTTATGCTAATGAGAATATTTTTAAACCAATTAAGTTAATGGAATGTTGTAAAACGGAGCCCGCGTTATTAGAGTACCGCGTAATTGGTGGTGTCGCAAATGGCTGACGCGTTGTAGGAGAGTTAACCCTTTGCACTCGGAGCCGTTTCCGCGCGGACCTACCAGCAACTCGAGACGTTTAGTAGCGCTTTTCGTGACTTTACTGCCGCTAACATAAAATGATTACACACGCAAAATAACGTACACAACTTTTATATTTTAATTCTCAATGTATCTTTACATGTTTACAAGGATAATTTTTTTAACATTATTCTTTGTAATTTTGTTTTGTGTGATATTTTATGTAACRATTGCCAARATGCATGCMYKGCTYATCGGGACACGTATCACAATAGTACGTTGTTTGATGTCTTCTGCCAGGTATACTTCGTTTAGAGCAGACTTTGCAATCCTTCCTAACTCCTGTTAGAATATTATGCAGCTTTCCATTTAAGCATTCGTTTTCAAATCTGGACGTTGAGATTGAAGCGCGAGCACGTGCTTAATGAAAATCTCCAGTCAATTGCTGAACTAAGGTTTTTACATACCTCAAGTGACAAAGCGACTATTCTCCTCTCTGCTTTTTTGTCATTTTATAAAGCAAATATGAATTTACTGAACAAATTTCAAGTCCCCAAAAAAACAGTTTACGCCACCATTTCAAGGATTTTCGTAAGAAACAGTACGTTHCGCATAATTGATCTGCACGATCGACTCCACCCAAATATTTTATATAATTTATGACGACATTATGCTTCTTGACCGTAACTTCAACACCACCTCGTAACATTCTTCTCACAGAAGTYATTCCTGCATTGTTCCAATTTGTCAAGCACGTGACAACCCTCTTGTCTTTCCATGATAAAACTAATGTATTTATTTTGCGGAATGCTACTGTCGAATTCCTGCCGAAATTTGGTTTGGCAAATGCATCCTATTTGTTAGTATTTTTCCTGACAAGTGACATTTCAACTTCAATAACTCTTCAGCCAGGATAACGCTGGTGTAGTACCGATCGGTGAACATGTGGTGTCCTTGGCTACCAGGTACTTTCTCAAGGATCATCGTATAAAGCTGCAGCGGTATTCTTGCAGATAC